CGATCTCTGGCTGCTCTAAGCGGGAACCAGGGAACTCGCAACTCTAGCGACATCAACTGTAATAGATAGTATTGCCTTTCACCGGCTAAGATATCAATAACACGGATATCTTTTCATTCAACATATACATGGAAGTTTGCAACGAGAAAAAACGATCAGAAGTTGGTCTTCATTTGAAGCTTTATCTTTTATTTTCCATGGCAAAAATTTTACGCTGACTCCGGTTACGCTAGAGATTAAAATTAAGGAAATTTTAAAACCTTTTTTTGGTGCTTTTTACGCTCTGTGAAGGTCGATGTCAGCTGGGCTTGAATGATCAATTTGGGTTGTCAAAAAAGTAGGGAAATATTTCTTTCTATCAGAAATTTTCAGTTTAAAGTCAATGCATTAATGCATAACACGATAAACGAATTTGGTTTCCATAAGCTCAACTTTCAGGCAATAGTTTTCATTTAGCAAAATACAGAGAAACACGAATTTGATATCATTTAGCATAGGTAAATAAATTCTGATTATAAATTTCGGAAGGAGCGTTTCTGTAACTAACCTTTATTCCATTCGTAAAACTTTGGAAAGTTATTGTTAAACATTGCGCTGAATCACTTCGCCAAGCGCATGACGTTTGGACTACTTGCACACTTTTTGTGCAGCACTTTACTTTCGTGATGGCCGATCCCACCTACGAATTCCTGCATTTCCCCGTCAAAATACTTTTGAGTTAAATAATTTACTTTTTAATTCCACCGATAACTTTTCCGTCTCCTTTCTTGAAACTTTCAGCGTAGGTGAAATATTTTCGTCGCTCTGCTCTACGAATTTCGTGTCCGACGCGGAGTCAGTGCTTTCATTCTTTCAGTTGCTGTGATTGGTTTGTCGCATCATCTCATGAATTTGATGAGAAAAAGCAAGTTGATCACGGAAGTACAATAATTTTTCTCTTATTGACAGACTTTTTCTATAGTTATTTCATAAAGGCGATAAAATACTCTCTCTATGGGTTTACCGGCACAATAAACTACTTGGCAAGTTGGGGGAACACTCGAAAAGCTTGTAAATCACTCGCCCCACGGCTCGTGATTTTCAAGCTTTTCTCGTGTTCTCCCGACATCCTGCGTGGTTTATTGCGCTAGTAAACCCNTTAAGGAAATTTTAAAACCTTTTTTTGGTGCTTTTTACGCTCTGTGAAGGTCGATGTCAGCTGGGCTTGACTGATCAATTTGGGTTTTCAAAAAAGTAGGGAAATATTTCTTTCTATCAGAAATTTTTAGTTTAAACTCAATGCATTAATGCATAACACGATAAACGAATTTGGTTTCCATAAGCTCAGCTTTCAAACGATAGTTTTCATTTAGCAAAATACAGAGAAATACGAATTTCATAGCATTCAGCATAAGTAAATAAATTCTGATTATAAATTTCGGAAGCAGCGTTTCTGTAACTAACCTTTATTCCACTCGCAAAACTTTGGAAAGTTGTTGTTAAACATTGCGCTGAATCCTTTCGCCAAGCGCATAACGTTTGGACTACTTGCACACTTTTCGTGCAGCCCTTTACTTTCGTGATGACCGATTTCACCTACGAATCCCTGCATTTCCCCCTGTCAAAATACTTTTGAGTTAAATAATTTACTTTTTAATTTCACCGATAACCTTTCCATCTCCTTTCTTGAAACTTTCAGCGTAGGTGAAATGTTTTCGTCGCTCTGCTCTACGAATTTCGTGTCCGACGCGGAGTCTGTGCTTTCATTCTTTCAGTTTCTGTGATTGGTTTGTCATATCATCTCATGAATTTGATGAGAAAAAGCAAGTTGATCACTGAAGTACAATAATTTTTCTCTCATTAACAGACTTTTTCTATAGTTATTTCATAAAGGCGATAAAGCACTCTGTCTATGGGTTTACCGGCACAATAAACCACTTGGCATGTTGGGGGGAACACTCGAAAAGCTTGTAAATCACTCGCCCCACGGCTCGTGATTTTCAAGCTTTTCTCGTGTTC